AGGAGCTGAAAGGTAATTATTTCAATGAGAGATAATCTGTGAGACCAGTACCGGAATACTGTGCCCAGTCCACATTTTTTTCAATGATACTGAAAAATTGGAGAAGACACAGAAAAGAGGCACAAAAATGGTTTGGGGTAGAAAAAAGAAAGCCTTACATTGAGAAACTTAAGGAGCTCAATCTGCTTAGTTTATTAAGAAAAGAAGATTGAGCGCTAGGTTAATTACTGTGTGAGTCATTTAGTAGAGAGAAAGTACAGGCAGTCCCCGGGTTACGTACAAGATAGGGATTGTAGGTTTGTTCTTAAGTTGAATTTGTATGTAAGTCGGAACTGGTACATATTGTAGGGGAAACTCTAGCCAAACATTTCTCCAGAGCTCAGTTTTATTCTCCCACACCTCACTTCCCTCAGTCCTTTATTCTCAAGCTGAGGTGTCTGCTGAGAAAAGCCGCTCCGCGTCTCCCTGGTCTGCTGGGGGAGGGGCGCTAGCTTCACGTCTCCCTGGTCTGCTGGGGGGAAGCAGCTAGTGCGGGGTTGCCTCACCCGTTTGTAAGTAGGGATCCTATGTAAGTCGGATCCATGTAACCCGGGGACTGCCTGTACAAGGAATTAAAGGGCTTGGTAATCTTAGGGCAGAGAAAGTCCTAACAAAGAAAACAAAACAAATCAAAAAGCAATGGCTGGAAGTTAAAGCCAGAGAAATTCAAATAAAAAAGGCCACCACACTTTTGCTATGTCTACACTCGCGCCTTCTTGCGCAAGTACGGCTGTTCTTGCGCAAGAATCTGCATAGCGTCCACACTGCCCGCCCGCTCTTGCGGAAGAAGATTTACAGTACGGCATGGTAAGAGAGGGCTTCTTGTGCAAGAGCTGCGCTCTTTTTTAAACAGGTGTAAATCCTCTTGCACAGGGGCTCTTGCACAAGAGGGCAGTGTGGACGCTCGGCAGCGATTTCTTGCGCAAGAAAGCCCGATGCCAAAATGGCCGTCAGAGCTTTCTTGTGCAAGAGCGCGTCCACACTGCCATGGGAGCTCTTGTGCAAAAGCACAGTGTGCACATGGCAGTGTGGACATTTTCTTGCACAAGACTTCTTGCACAAGAACCCTTGCACAAGATGTTCTTGCGCAGTGCATTAAAATGTAATTTATATTCTCCTTGTAGCATGCAACAGTCCTTCCCATGTACATGCTCAAGTGCAGTAACTGCTCTGAAAAGTGAATAGCAATAGCATTGTGGGGATTCCATATTGTGTCTCAAAAGCAAATGTGTCCAATTTATCAGTCAAAAGCTCGCCTTCAAATGTCAGCTGGTTTCTTTTTGGCACCTCATTAGGCAAAGGTTCAAGTATATCTTCAGGAATAACTTCAATATTTTAGAGACAATGGGGTTGCATGCTATGGAGGGAGAAGTCTGGACTGCAAAATTTCCATTATTGTAGCTCAGGCATCAGAAGGAAAGAATCTGCTTGACTTTCACATTGTAGAGTGAATTTGCTGTGATGACAGAGAGACACGTCCAACCTCTTTTGACTTGCAAAGTGAATACATTTGATTTAGAATAATTGAGAGATAATAAACATGGAATCCCAAGACTTTATTATATTGATTACATCCTGGTGAATATTTTTGGTAGAAACTTTTTGGAAAGAAAAATGCAGATTTTATGACGCAATTTTTTTTCTCAGAATTGTGTCAGTTTTGCCAAATATTTCATTTTGTGAGGGAAAAAATTCTGAAAACAATTTAAACTTTTTATTTTGACATTTTGTAAACATTTTGTTTTATAGTTCATAATGTCTTTTCATTTCAAAATTCCCTGTAATTGTGTCATTCATAAAAATCAAATGCATCTGAAATTGGGTAATATAAAAGAAGTAGGTTTCAACTTTGTCAAATCAAAACATTTTATTCAACCTGAAATGATTGATTTCCTTTTTGAGTTGTGGATAATTTTTATTTTTGATCCAACTTGAAAATTTTCATTCACTTTTCAAAATTGCCAACGAACTAAGATAATTGTTTGTTCACAGCTTTAGTAGAAATTCATTTTTCAGAATAGAATAAACTGTAATGGATTGAGTCTCCTCTTATCACAAACATATGATTTCCATTAACATTAATAGGAATAATACACATGCATAGATGGGCAAAATGAGTCATATATCTATCTGACTTCAGAAGGGCAAAAATCTGTGTCTTGTTTTTTTAGTCTTTCAAATCAGAGAACTGCTTTATTCTAACAAAGCTGCAGTTCTGCAAATTTATCAAATTGTTTTTTAGGACAGTAAGGAAACACAAGGAAAGTCTCCTTTTGATTGATTCCTACCAACTGTTAGTGCTGTGAAAAGCAATGCTGAGTTTCTCTCTAGCTACGTCTAGATGGCTTTCTTCTGCTGAAAGAAGATATGCAAATGTGGAGCTAATTTGCATATCTTCTTCCAATTGCATTATTGGAAGAGGTTTTGTTGAAAAAGAAAGCAGTTTAGACTATGTTATTTCGGAAAAAAAACCAACAAAGAACCCGGCACACCTCACTTTTTTAGGAAGAAGGATTCTTTTAAAAAAGGTTTTTTTTTTTTCCCAAAAGAACTGCATCTAAAACTGCTTTCTTTTTTGACAAAACCTCTTCCAATAACGTGATTGGAAGAAGATATGCACATTAGCTCTGAATTTGCATATCTTTCTTCAGCAGAAGAAAGCAGTCTAGACGTAGCCCCTGTGTTGAGGAATTGAAGTTAGAAGACACATTGTGAGGGGGGGCGGGGACATCCTGGCTCCACTCAGGACAATGAGAGCTTCTGTTTACTTCAGTGGAGTCAGGCTTTCCTTTGAAGGGTATAGTCTACACTGGTATGTATAAAGTGCTGGTAGCTACAGAAGTGCAGTAGGGAAACCATTGTTGTGTGTCCACGCTGTAAGCTGACAGCACAGTAGCATGACCGTACTTGTGGCACTTGCAGCAGCATTCGGAACAGTGCACTCTGGTCAGCTGTCCCACAGAGCACCTCTTCTGCTTCCGCTGAGGCTTTTGAGAAAATGGGGGGGGGGGGGGGGGGGGGGGGATTGGTTCATCCTTTCACTTCCCAGCCTCCTCTGTGCTTCCATCTGCATTTGGCATCATTTTTCAATCGCTTTTGTGCCAAGGACTCTGCCTCCTGATCTGTGGGAATGGATCCCAAACTGTTGAAGAAAATGCTGCTCGGTCTCACTAACATGTCATGAATGGTAGTTGTTACTCCTGACTCCTTAACTGTAAAGTGATGAGGAGGAATCCAACACTGATCTTGCGAGCAAAGAAGCTATGACACGTGATATCTGGTGGCATTCGTGGAGGTGATGATTAGAGTGGAATGCTGTTTTGGGGCCTGCAGGCATCGAGTGGTGGGATCACATCATCATGCAAATCTGGGATGACAAGCAGTAACTGCAGCACTTTTAGATGAAGAAAGTTGCTTTCATGGGACTATGTAAAGAGCTTGCCCCAGTGATGTGAATAGGCAAGCATGGCCTGGAACACCATATCAGCAAGTCATTTTTAGTTGGTGTAGCACACTGGAAGGACTCTGACTGCTACCCTCAGCCCCTCCACTGGCTGTTGCTAGTGGACAGGACTGAGGTCTCTCAGTTGAAGGCTCAGGTCTCCCAATGGGAAAAAGACCAAACCTGCTAGGCCCCACTCCCCACCCATGTGCACAGGAGTGGCAGTTCTGTGGAAGGGTACGGGCTGGGGCTGGAAGTGCTGCGCTTTTCCCCACTGGCGCAGTAGGGGATGCTTCTGGGCAGGGAAAACATTTGCTTATTTTTCCCCACAAAATGCTGTAAGATAATGGAATGTAATTCCAAGATAATGGAATGTAATTTAACCCAAACACCTTTCTAAACCCCCTAAGAAAAATCCTCACTGCACCAAGTTACTTTAACCCAAATACCTTTCTAAACCCCCTAAGAAAAATCCTCACTGCACTCAATGAAAGGGGTCCCAAATGCTGTGTTGGTGGAATACAGACTTCTGAAGATCCTCTGTTCCTTAGCAGTTTGTATTGCACTGCAAAATGTAAATACATGCCTGTTATGAAACAAAACATAATATATATAAAAATAAGGGATGATATGTAGTGTCACAGGTGGAGGAACTCCATGTGGGGCAGAAAGGGGCGAAAGAAAAGAAAACAAATGTATCTTTAAAAAATCAGTTGAATCCTATCTGAGACCTCATCCTTTAAAATGCAGGGTTTTTGCCCGGTACTGCTACAGGGCAGAATTAAGGTTGTTTGGGTATCCCAAACAGTGCATTGCTCTCCTTTAACATGTTTGGCTTTCTTTTTAATTAAACCTTAACCCTCAATATTTTGGAGTTATAATACTTGGTCTGGGGATAATTGCAACATTCCTGTAAAATATTTTATCCTAAATGACAATATGTATTCTCAATCTTAGTTCCACTTTACAAATTTATTTTTCTGATGATTAAAATTACATTTAATTGTGATTAAACTAAATTGGATTACAATTATGTTAATTGAGGTTTCATTTAAATTAGTTTAAACTGATATTGGATTATGTTCAAATTAGATTAAATTTGAAGAAAGATAAAATTAGATTGTAAATTTAGGTTTGATTGCATTCAAATTAGATTTAGAATAAATTAAATTGAAATGAGATTGAGACAAATTTGGATTACATTTGCATTATATTAAGATTAATTTTGTTAATGTTTAGAATAGATTAAGGTGATTTTAGTTTGGATTAAATCTAGATTAGATTACATTTAAACTAATGTCACGGATTCTGTGTGGATTAAATTAAGATTAGATGAGTTTTGGTGGGATATTTAGGCAGCAAGCATTTAGGGAAATGTTTAGTTGGGTATAAAAATTTCTCACCATTCAGCCCAGTTGCCCAAATACTACTACTGTTTTTAGCCTTCTGGTGACACTGATGTCAGAGCTCAGGTGGGTGGGGCAAATAATGACATCACAAGCAACTGATGAGGTTACAATATGAGGCTCAGTCTGAATCCCCAGGCTGTGGTGCTGCTGGCTCAAAGTATTTAACCTCCTCTCAGGAGAAACAGGCAACAAGCGGACACAGGAATATCTACACACTCAGGTTAGCCCAGCTTTTGAATAAGGAATCGGTATTAGAAGGGAAGAAATTGATTTGGATTTTAGCAATCCCTTGGAATAAATCCAGACACACTCCACTAGATTCAGTCAATTCTTTTGGGCTTTCAGTTGAATGCCTCAGGATTTACCCAGAGATGAACTATCTGGTTCTTCCTTTAGAGTTCAAGCAGCATTGGGAGCCCTATCAGTCTAGAAGAAACTTGAAGGACAAAGCCAGAGGGTAAATGGATATGGGTGTAGATAGAAGAGGATAAAAATGTCCAAGAAGCCTAAGGGGGTTAGATACTCAAATCCCTTTTAAAAATCAGCATGAGTTTGTGTGCCCAACTCCCTTTTACTTCTTTGAGAATCCTGATATGGTTCTTATATTTTCTTTCTCAAGCCTAGATACAATTGATCTGAGTTTGACAATTTATGGAATATTGACAAAGGCTCAGAAAAGGTTAAAGAGCTATATCTGGGGAATTAGTCAGCGAGAAGGTTTGATGAATCTGGGTTCGATTCTAAGCCCAGCCAAAGACTTAAAGGCTATGTCTACGCTGGCGGCTTCTTGCGCAAGAACATCTTATGCAAGGGTTCTTGTGCAAGAACTCTTGCGCAGGAACACATCCACACTGCCATGTGCAAGGTGTGCTTATGCACAAGAGCATCCACGGTAGTCTGGATGCTCTCTAGTGCAAGAAAGCTCTGATGGCCATTTTAGCCATAGGGCTTTCTTGTAAAAGAAACCCCTGCTGTGCGTCCACACCGCCCTCTTGCTCAAGAGCGTGTGGGCAGTGTGGACGCTCTGCGGAAGAATGGCCATTCTTGCGCAATAACCTGCTAGTGTAGAAATAGTCAAAGACTATCAAATCTGCCTCCGGGATTTGGACAACCAGTTTCCATTTAATTTTAATGGAAATTGGATGTCCACATCACTTAGGCTGTTTTCAGAAGCTCACGCTTCCCCATCTGCAAAATGTGAATAATTCCCTCCCTCCAATTCTAAATTCAGGGATATGATGAGACTCAGATACTATGATCTGATCTCCCAACTTCATTCACTCTGTGTGTGTGGGGGGAGGGCGAGGAGGGAGCGGGAGCAGACTGTGCAGATTGCATCTTTGGGTGGTATCCCAAGGTTTGTGTGATGCTGGAGCTCTGATCACTGCTCTACAGCCAAAATGCTTCTGAAATAAATGTAGTCAAACTTTACTAATTCTGGGTCACTGAGAATGAAAATGATGCTTAAAATTGTTGATTGGCTCTAGTTTTCAAGATATGCTATTGGGTGAGTATATACGACCCTTGACTTGCCAATGGTGGAGGATAAGTGAGTTATAAAGGGAAGGGATCTCAATTTAAACCAGAAATGACTAAAATACATCTTTGACTGGATCTATGAATAAATCTATGACTGGGTTTGGACAGTACTTGCTTTTCAGGCAAAACAATGAATGATGCAATCTGAAGCTGGTATTGCGTCATACATGATATGAATTGCATCATATTATTCCTAGAAGTCATGGATGATGCAATCATAACAAAGCTTACATCACTCTGCTGAACAAATTGCCCTATATCAGCTCTAGAAATCATACAGTGTCGTGCTCTCTTATTTGTCAGTGTTTGATTTTGCAAAGGGACACATTTCTGTTTAGCCAAAGTGAGCAGAGGTGCCTCGTACTTGTGTGAACAGTGCAGATAACTTTTGCTATGTTTGTGGTGAAGTGACTTTTGCATCACAAAAGCACACTATAACCACTATGGTTAAGAAAGCCTATCACCTTTATTTTGGCTGCAAAATTGGAGATCAGGACAAGAGGTGGGCCCCACACATATGCTGCAACACTTGTGCAACAAATCTTCGCCTGTGGCTGAACAGGAAAAGGAAATCTATGCCTTTTGCTGTGCCAATGATTTGGAGAGAGCCAACAGATCATACCAGCAATTGTTACTTCTGCACGGTGCCTCCAGTTGGGAAAGGTGTGTCAAAGAAGAAAAAATGGACTGTGCATTATCCAAACATTCCATCAACTATACGCCCAGTACCCCACTGAGGAGGACTGCCGGTTCCTGATGCACCAGAATCATTCTCACTTGAGTCAGACGAGGAAGAGGAAGAGGATGAAACTTCTGGTCCTGAACCATCAATGTCACAGGACCCACATTTTCTCCCATCCTCCTCCTCTGAACCACACCTCATAACACAAGGTGAACTGAATGACCTTGTCAGGGATTTGGAACTACCCAAGAGTAAGGCAGAGCTGTTGGGCTCCAGACTACAGCAGTGGAATCTCCTGGCAGGTGATGTTAGGGTTTCCGTGTTCCGTGACTGTCAAAAGGATATTGTCCCATTCTTCTTCATGGAAGCTGATCTTGTAGCCTGCAACAACATTGATGGGGTGATGGCAGCCCTCAACATCGTTCACGATCCAGATGAGTGGAGACTATTCATTGATTCATCGAAGACGAGTCTTAAAGCTGTTTTGCTGCATAATGGCAATATTTTGCCATCAATTCCAGTTGGTCATGCAGTCCATATGAAGGAAACCTATGACAACATGAAACAACTTTTGAGGTGCATAAACTATGACCAACATCAGTGGCAGCTTTGTGGCGATTTGAAGGTTGTTGCTCTCTTGCTTGGTCTGCAGACTGGATACACAAAGTACTGCTGTTTTCTCTGCTAATGGGATAGTCGTGCAAGAGATTCCCACTACATCAAGATAGATTGGCCACTCCGACAGTCATTGGAGCCTGGGAGGAAAAGTGTTCAGCATCCACCCCTTGTTGAATCAAGGAAGATTTTGTTACCACCCTTACACATCAAGCTGGGTCTGAAAGAACTTTGTCAAGGCCATGGACAAAACACAAGCAGCTTTCAAGTACCTCAGTGGAAAATTTCCAAGGTTAAGTGAAGCTCAGATAAAGGAAGGTGTCTTTGTTGGTCCTCAGATTTGTGAACTTCTTCAAGCTGATGCATTTGACCATGCACTGCGTGGCAAGGAAAAGACGGCATGGAAAGCTTTCCAATTAGTAGCAATAAATTTTCTTGGAAACAACAAGGCAGACAACTACAGGTTGTTGGTGGAAAAACTCCTCAAGGCATACAAAAGCCTTGGTTGCAATATGTCACTAAAGATACATTTTTTGCACTCTCATCTAGATTTTTTTCCACCGAACTGTGGAGCAGTGAGCGACGAGGACGGTGAGCGATTTCACCAGGACATTGCAACAATGGAGAAACGCTATGAGGGCAAATGGAGCCCATCAATGCTTGCAGACTATTGCTGGACAGTGACAAGAGATGCTCCATTTAATGGACACAAGAGACAAGCCAAGAAGCGCCGAAAAAGGTCCGTCTAGCCCAGTATCTGGTCTGCCAACAGTGGCTAATACCAGATGCCCCAGAGGGAGGGATCACAACAGGATCACATGGGGATTACCTCTCCTGTCACTCACTTCCAGAGAAACAGAGGCTAGGAATACCATTCCTACCTATCCTGGCTAATAGCCATTAATGGACGTAACCGCCATGAGTCTAGCTCTTTTTTTTTAAACCCTTTTAAAGACCAATGAGGTATGCACATGAAGGTGTCAAATTTACAACTTTAACAATTAGAAAGACTTGTGTTTGCATCTCTTTCTTCTACAACGTTTATTCATGCTCAATTTGGTTGTCCTATCTGTAGCTTTAGTTTGTGTTTTTCAAAGCAGTCCAGAGGATTCAGGTGCCCAATTTCTATACATGTTAATAGAATACCACAGGTTTCACCTCTCTAAACCAGGACTCTCTCGTCCAGCAGGACCACAGATGTTGCTGAATGAGAGAGCCCTGGGCAGGAGGGCAAGCTGGTGAGAGCCCTGTGTACAGCGAGGCTGATGGGAGTGGGGCCAGAGCCTCAGCAGCCTGGCAGTGGGGCCGAGGCAGTCTGGCAACCCAGCTGTGGCTGGGGCAGCCTGTGCATGCTGATCTAGCAGCAGGGTTGTGCTGCAGTAACCTGAGAGGGGCTGCATGCCGGCCTGGCAGTGGGGACGGAGCCGCGGCAGCCTGGCTGGCAGCAAGGGGAAGCCCAGCAGCAGAAGCCCATCTGGGACTGCAGGAATGGAGCCATGGCAGTGGAGCTGGGGCTTCAGCAACCCAGTTAAGGCTGCAGCGGGTCAGCAGGCTGATCAGGGCCGTGTGCCAGCTAGCAGCAGGGCTGGTACCCCAGCAGTGGGGCTGAGGTAGCTGTGTTGCCCATCTTGCAGCATGGCTGAAGGAGGCAGTGGCAGGGAGGGGTGGCAGGTTGGGGGGTGGGGCTGGTGACAGGGGACCTTCCCTAGTCCAGCAAATTCCCTCATCCAGGACCACTCAGGTCCTCAGGGTGCTGGAGCAGTGATGTCCAACCTGTACTGACACATTCCCTGTCTCAAAATCCCAGACCCCTCACTCCTAAATTCCGGTCATCTTTGTGTAAATATCATTCTGATTTTACCAACATAGTTTCAGGGTGCAGGGGTTGTACTGGTGATGTGTTGTTGGGAGGCTCACTCTACCCATCTCCTTCCTCTTTCTCCAGCCGGAGGATGTCGGAGTTGGAGAAAGCATTCCGTAAATTTGCTGTGTATGGTGACACGGCTGCCACTGGCAATGACATGACAGGCAAGAATTTCTCCAAGATGCTGAAGGATTGTGGCGTGATGGATGGGAAGGCTGTGACCAGCACCGATGTCGATATTGTGTTCAACAAAGTCAAGTGAGTGGGGAAGAAAGGGGAGCAACAGTCAAGAGAGGGGAGGGGAAAACAAAGAGGAGAGAAGAGCTGGTTCCCCAGAGTGATGACTACGGTGGGGATGGTCTGGACTTTTTGGTGCCACTAGCCCCACAACCTAGCGGTAACTTCCCTTGTCTGTTCCCCTCTCACTGCAGGACCAAAGGCGCTCGCACCATCAACTTTGCTGAGTTCCAGCAGGCCATGAAGGAACTGTGTGGCAAGCGCTTCAAGGGCAAGTCTCCTGAGGAGGCACTGCAGGCTGTGTATGCACTGATGGAGGGCAAGGAGCCAGCCAACGTGGGTGTCACGGTGAGTATTCGTTCTCCTTAAAGGACTCAAGCCCTGTACTCCTCAATTCCTCACCAGAGCACCAGATTTCCCTGCCCTCTGGAGAGAAGTGGGAGTCTTTTTTCTCAGCCACCTGCCTGAGATCCCACTTCATTAAGGGAAAGAAAATGAGCATAATAGAGGCTTCCCACCATAGAGAGATCACACCTCATTCAGGGCAGCTGGGCCAGCGCTGGGTTAAACCAGTCCCCAGAAACCTCCCCTGGCTGTAGGAAGCTCTTCACACACATATACCACTCAGTCACTGTACAGGGAACTGCTCCTCCATCCACCTAACCTCTATGCATTTGGCTCACTCCATACCCCAACACAGCATGAGCTTCCTGGAGATACTGCATCCCCCTGGCAACAGGAATGAGCCCAGTCCAATCCCCCACCCTACACAGGCCTCACCATTTGGGATAGGCATGAAACTACTGTGAACTCCACTCTCAGTTCTGCTGACTTTTGCTGGGACTCCCTCTCTTACAGAAAGCCACTACAGCTGGAGGGGTTGACAGACTGACAGACACCAGCAAATACACAGGCTCCCACAAGGAACGGTTTGATGAGAGCGGCAAGGGGAAAGGAATAGCTGGTCGTGAAGACATGACCGATAACAGTGGCTATGTTGGGGCCTACAAGGGATCTGGCACCTATGACAAGAAACACTAGAGATGGCACTGCACCTTTGGGAGCCCTACACTCTGTTGTCCTCTGTCACCTAGGAGAGAGGCCATTAAACATCGCATCATCATTGCAGTTTGGCTTCTTGTTTATGTGTGTGTTACTCCTGGCGGATTTGTGCACCACTCCATGCACACAGTACGTCTGGAATGGAGGGACAGGGCCCAGGGGTGTTATGGGGACTGACCTGGCTCTTGCACTGTCTCAATATTGGGTCAATCTCTCTGCTGACTCAGTGTCGGGAGTGGGGAAGGCTGCAGGGTGATCCAGCTCCAGCCAGTAGCCTGTGTGCACACCAATGCCATGCTGGAGCCTCCACATTTATTTATGGACAAATAAAATGTGCGGTATTTTTAAAATATTATGTGCAAAATAAGTTTGGCACAGACTTCCCTCAGGTGTGGGGTGTGCAGGGGCCAGACCAGCCGGTCAGAACATTGATGGGACTGGAGGATTCCTATCTAAATGTGAAGAGGCCCAGCCCAGCTCAATGCAGGATCCTGATCCTGGGGTATTTTGTCTCCTGTCCAGTGGAATCCTGTTCAGGATCATGTATATCAAAGCTGCTTCCAGGTATGAAGAAGAGCCAGAGGGCAGGCAGCTGTCCCAGATTAGAGTGCTGCAACATGACAGAAAGCCAGTGTGAGGAGCTGGGTTGCCAATATAGATGGGTTCAGTTCCAGGAGAAACCGGTCCACCAATGGGGGGGTGGGGGCAGAGGAGCAACGGGGGCAATGACTGGGACCAGGGTGTTTTAAAAGGGCCAAGGAGGCCTCAGCTGCTGCCAGCAACACAGAAAGACTAAGACAGTCTTCCTGCCTGCCCTCAATCTGAGCCTCTCCCAGAACATCTGGCATGTCCTGGAGCAGGGTATGTCTCGTGCACTGCCCTTGCCCCAAGCACTGGCTCCGCAGCTCCCACTGGAACTGTGGCCAATGGAAGTGAGGGGGTGGAGGGAATGGTACACGGAGGGCCCTGGCAGTCCTGACTGGAAGCCTCTGTGAGAGGTGTGTGTTGGTCACTTTAGGAACTGGCCAAGGTCAGTACAGCTCCCTCCTGCACCCCAATCCCCTGCCCAGCCTAAAGCCCACAGCCAAACTCCCTCCTGCACCCCAATCCCCTGCCCAGCCTAAAGCTTGCACCCTACAGCCAAACTCCCTTCCAGAGCCAGTACCCCTCACCTTCTCCTGCACCCGAGCTCCCTCCCAGAGACTGACCCCTCCCACACCTGCACCCCCTCCTGCATCTCAGTCTGCTACGCTGCCTCAGCCCAGAGCCTTTACTCTGTACCTAAACTCCTTCCTCCAGTTCATACCCTTCATCTTGCCCTGCACCCCAGCCCCTACACCAGCCTAGCACCTGCACCCCACACCCCAAATCACTCCCAGTGCCTGCAGCCCTCACCTCTTCCTGCACCCAAACTCCCTCCCAGTGCTTGACCCCTCAATCCCTCCTACACTCCAACCCCCTGCACTCCTCATCCACAGTCCCTCCTGCACCCCAATCTCCTGCCCAGCCTATAGCCCATAGCCAAACTCCCTCCTGCACCTCAATCCCCTGCCCAGCCTAAACTCCCTTCCAGAGTCAGCACCCTTCACCTTCTCCTGCACCCAAGCTTCCTCCCAGAGACTGGCCCCTCCCATGTCTGCACCTCAACCTGCTACGCTGCCCCAGCCCGGAGCCTTTCCTCTGTACCTAAACTCCTTCCTCGAGCTCACACCCTTCATTCTGTCCTGCACCCCAGCCCCTACACCGTCCTAGATCCTGCACCCCACACGTAAAATCAATCCCTGACCCCGCAATCCCTCCTATACCCCCAACCCTCTGCCCCAGCCTGGTGAAAGTGAGTGAGGGAGGGATATTGAGCAATGGAAGGAGGAGGGCTGGAGGGCATACAAGGGTGGGCCTTGAAGAAGGGACGGAACATGGGCATGGCTTCAGGGAAGGAGTTGGGGCAAGGGTCTTTGGATTTGCATGATTAGGCAGTTGGTAACTTTACTAGACAGGCATCTGGGAGCCCTGGCCAGGTTGGAAGAACATGCCCAGCAGTGCAACTGACAGCTCACAGGGCACCAGCCTATGCAGGCGTAGCACCACTCAAATGTCTGGTGGACTATGTTGGCACAGACACTGCTTATGTGTGTGTGACGCTTGGCTCTTCTGTCCAGCAGCCTGAAATTGCTGTCAGGAAAGAGAGGGGGGTTATGCAGGCTTACTTTTTCAGACCAGTAGCAGTATGGGGCTTATGAAACATGGATAAGGATCCCTGATTTCACTCTTTGGTGAGTCAGTAGTTAGAGCAGGAGGGAAGCAGGGACTCAGGATTCCTAGGTCCTCTTCTCAGCTGTTTGTGAGGTGCAGGTTGTGATGTAATAAAGAGGGTTGGAGCAGTAAGTCACGGCACCAGTAACTGCTTTGCTCCTCACTTCCAGTGTGAGTGCAAGCACATCATGTCAGCTTTGTGCTTCAGTTTCACCATCTGTAAAATGGGGATAATCATTCTTGTCTCCCACCCAATAGCCCAAGTCCAAGCTCAGTTATGCCAATGTAAATGTGCAGTGACTCCACTGAAGTACCGCAGTAATTGAGCTGAATATCTGGCCCTTAGTCATGTGTGTGTATTTAGATTATGAATGTGCACCAGCTATGCACAGTATAGACTTGGGGTTCTTAAGCCTCATTTTACCACAACCCTCTTCTGATGACAAACATTTCGACGTGACCTTGGGACTTGGGGGCAGGGAGATGGACTGGAGCCTGAGCCCTCCTGAAGCCCACTGCCGGGAGGGTGGGGTGAAGCCCCACTCTCCTGGCAGCAGGGGGGTGGGGGCTACACCTTGACCCTTACCACTCAAGGCTGAAGACCTTGGAATTGATCTTTGGCCTAGCTGTAGAGGTCAGGCTTTGACCCAGGATGCAGGAAGTCTAAAATCAGAGATGGTTGTGACCCACTTTCGGGTCCTAGCCCACAGCTGGAGAAGCGCTGCCCTGGAACAAGAAGGAAGGGCAGGGTGTTGGAGGCAGCTAACTCCTCCAGTCCTTTCCCATCTGCCTCCTATCCCCCACATGGCTCCCTGGTCATCAGCTTCCTATGTGCTCGCAGCCATGGGAAGAGGGTGTGACAGGGGGTGCCCCCCAGCATGCTTCCCCACCATCACCAAAACATTGAACGGGCAACACAAACCTAGCACTCCTAGCCCTGGCCCTTGTGCCCCACCCTCTGAACCACTGATGAGTGGGAAGGGTTTGAGAACTGGAAGCAGGCAAGAAGTGGCCTGTGGGGGACAGTGTGTGAGTGGGGCCACACCAGGCTGTTTGGGGAGGCACAGTGTTCCCCTGCCTATGCTAGCTGTCCTGCACCAGGGAGAGCCAAATCACAGCTGGGCTAGGAAGAGCTGCAGCCCGCAGCAACAGAGCCCCTCCCTCCATTAAGCTAGGACAGCAGTGATGCCAGGGTAGTGATGCACCCAAGGAATCATAGCACCTGTCTGGGGGAAAACCAAGCAGTGTGGGTAGAAGGAGAACACGGTGAGCAGCACTGGACTTCCTGCTATGAGGTTGGACAGATGGAGCACTGTCCAGGCAAGACGGGTGGGACCTGAAGCTTCATTATGTTCCCTTGTGTTAGGCTGCAGTGATAGGGCACAGCCAGAGTACGCAGGGGGAGGCATGCCCAGCTACCTAACGTCCCTTTGCAGCCTGGCTGGGGAGACAGGGCATGGCCGGGGTACAAAAGGCGGCTTATTGCCATTTGTTCCTGTCTCTCAGTGCAGGCAGCTAGTTTGGAGGCTTTGACTAAGTCAGCTAGAGCATGTACCAACTGCCCTGGAATCGCTTCCTGCATTACCCACATTCGCCCTCTGGCATGACAGCTGACTCTATCCCCATGTGACTTCCCCTCCTAAACTGGGTGTGAGGGGAGGGAGAGAAATTTCAGGGAGGGCATCGTTGGGGCCCTGAGGAGTTTGAGGGTAGGAATTTCCCTTGGGGGTATCATCACTGTCTGCCCCTCATCCCCTGCATGGTCTGGCTATACACAGTTGCATCTTGCTGTGGCACTGAGAAGCATTAAATGGGGAGACTACATCTGAGGGGAAGGGGCAGCCATGGAAGGTCTTCCATGAACAGGGAGAGCCTTGTGGTTAGTGTCAGCAGGTGGGAAGTATGGGGTAATATGTCTTAAAATAAATTGACTCTAATACGTGAATCACTAAAAGGACTTATGGTCCTTCCGCATCATATGGTTCATGAATACTGTAGGTCACAGTGAAGATGGTTTAGATGCCCTAACTATTTCCATACCTTACCACATTTGGATTTCTTTTATGTCAAAGCTTCCCTCAGAATTTCACAGGTTTATAACATTTGTCTTGGGAATACTTGCCTGATCCCTGTAATAAGATTTACTGTCTGTTACTGATACCTATTACTATTAATTTTTATACCATAGCACCTCATGGCTCAGGTCCCACTATGCTAGACTCTGTACAGCAAACAAAAAAACAGTCCCTTCCTCAAAGACCTTATAATTTATATACACTCAACCCCCGACTCCATCTTTACATAGTATTTTTCTGGAAACATAATATCAATCTTAAATAGTTTGTATCTATAAATATATTAAATATTAATAAATTATATTTCCAGCCATATTAAATAGTTAATACGTCTAATAGAATCTTAAACTAGGTAGTTACGTAGGACTGTAAAGTGCTTGGATGTCCCTGAGTGCAAAGATGAGAAGAACTATGTATTTTTCTTGTAGAAAATATGTAATAGAGAGACTCACCAACAATATTTCAAAATAGGAAGGGTAATAAACTAGGAACATATGGAGGAAAATACAAGCTTCAGCCTTGCATTTTATGGCAGCGCTCTGAATAGTCAACACACAGCAGCTGTCCTCAGTGCTGCTTGTTTTAGTACGTTATGTCCTGTACAATACTGCAAGCAGAGAACATGTACATTAGAAGATAATAGGATATTTTCCAGAAACGCTATTGCACCAGATGAAACAATCATAGAACATTCTCTCTTCACTCTGTTTTCCATGGCAAACCAGTGTCTTGTTTATA